TGTTTTTCTCGTTGCCATGTTCCCACCAATAACGTAGCTCCATTTTCTGCCTTTAAAAGCACACACAACCCACAATTCCTCTATTCGCTCCGACGAAGGGCTAACGCTCGAAACGTCAGCTTTTGTAATCGTTACGGTGGCCAATTTACCATTTCAACTTTGTTGATATATCCAAATTATTTGATGAACTGAATGACTGACTGAGGGACTGAGTGACTGTCACTGGACCACTGACTGTGACCAAAAGAGGAGAAGCTGACTTACTGATTGATTGACAGGCTTGCTAACTGACAGACATGATAGACTCAAGCATCTGCCAACTGGCAAACTAACTTGCTTAATTACTTGTTCCAAGCCAAAGGTATAAACCTACAGAATTCCTTTTTCACTTTTTGCAGGTCCTACTATGGATTCATTTTCTGGCTACGGTGTTATCCTTTACAACCATTTATTGGTTTTCCTCATTTTGGACAGGTAAATACAAAATGTGTTAGTTTGCTTTGTCACACAAATTTTGACTTTTCTGTTCATTTTTTTGTACAGGTGCTTTGATGTTGTTTGGTTTCTTATACTGCCCAAATTACACAAGACTTGGAGGTTTTGTGGGAAAGCATGGAATGAAGTAAGATTTATTTGATCTGTTAATGTTACTGAACATTTTGTCAGTCTCACAAGGGTAATATACAGGACCAAGTGGAGGTCAATTCATTCTGTAATCATATGAGTGATTAACAACATTGGATGACTGGGAAGCAGGAGTACAACTTTTTAATCATGAGTATATTACAGACAGAATTGGACGACATAAAGTCCTCCTACCAATTAATCATAACCATTACAATTTCTGGAAAAAAAAAAGATATATCTATCTGAGAAAGTATCTCAGCATGAACTAATTGCCTTTAAAATTTAAAAATCTTCTGTTTTGGAAGTTCCCCGGTTTTGTGGAATGAGCAGCTGTTGACAAATTCGCATGGTAAGAGTTGAATTTCCGACAATTCTTGGTATATTTTTTTTCAAGATAAAAGTTAGTGATAATAATTTTGAACGATGTTTCTACCTCGCTGAGGTCATTTTCAAGCCAATGAGAAGGGAAATTTTTACATATATTTACTAAATTCAAGACGTGGGAATGATTAAAGCGATAAAATATGGAAATATGTAAATGCTAGGCATAAAATAGAAGTGATAAAATTGCAAAGGAGACAATACGAATAAATTAATATGAATTTACGAATAAATTAATATTTTATTGCCTTTATCATTCTCGCGTCTTGAATTTATTACATATATGTAAAAATTTTCCTTCTCATCGGCTTGAAAATGACCTCAGCGAGGTCGAAACATCGTTCAAAATTATTATCACTAATTTTTATCTTGAAAAGCTTTTCTAAAAATCTACTTATCTTTGTGTATTGACAGAAATAATTTAAAACCAATTATTTTGGTTCTGTGTGGTATATACTGTCTAAAACTTACAATGATTCACCCCAGTGTCAGGGAAAGTGGTAGAAATTTACCTCATTGCTTCACAGCTCAGTAAATATCCATCACCTCCACTTTGGTGAATAATATCATGAAAAAAAATTGATTATTAAATAAATACTTTCAGCTATGTAAAGTATTTTTATCAGGCATTGTAGGCTGAACAGTCGGCTTTAAAGTGTGTTCACTAAAAAGATTTTGTAGTTGGAAATTTTAAACAGTTGAATTTTTTTCCAGCAAAAATACCTTTGTGATTGCTTTTGCTGGTGGAGGTATCATGAATGTAACAGCATCTTTGCTGATGGGGATCTATGTCATTTTTGAACTGATGGTGAGTGGCCCCTAATTTATAAGCAACAAGATTTGCTGAGGAGCAGAGGATGTAGGCCCAGGTTCAATTCCCACACGCCTCCTTGCATCACACGTGGATTGAGTTTGTTGTTGGTTCTTGTCCTTCTCCAATTGTCCTACCTCCACAAAAACATTTATTCCAGTTTCAACTTTGACTTGAAAACAGTGGACAAGAAGAGTCTTTTCAAGAAATGTCCACTGCTAAATTCCCAATGCTATTCCCATTTTGGATCAATTTTATGAATCATTGTAAACTCTGGGATGAATTTTGCACTAGAGCACTTTTTTTTATTGTTGCCATTACATGGTTGAATTTATAGACTTGAGTGACTTACTCATCATTTGAATTTTGTAGGCATTTGAGTGCGATAATGAAGAGAGCACCTGTTTGCGGAAGAAAGAGCAGATGTATTGGTCAAGTATGTGCTAAATTAAATCTTGTAGAAAATTCAGTATAATTATAAATTAATTTTATAGTTATGATGTTATCAGAAATGGATTTTGGTGTTAACTGAGTCATTCAAACTAATTGCAGCTTAATAAACACAAATTCAAGGAAAATGGTAGTCAAATTAAAGAAATTAAATAAATGCAAACAAGATGCAAGATGTTGTTAGAATAAGAGAAATTAACACAATTTACTCAAACAGGGTATTTTGTTTAGTCTTAAAGTATATATTTGTTGTTATTTTCAAAATTTTGTTTAATATTTTATTCTTTTTCTTTGTGATTTTTCAGTAACCTTTTACCTTGGCCAGGCATTTTTCCTGGTATGCAGTGTGTTGATATGTGCCATTTTGTTTCATAACTTCAAAACAGAGGTAAGGTGTCCTTTTGAAAGTTGTTTGTTTGTACAGCACCATGCTCTGTACCCATGAGGTGGTGGTGGGTGGGGGAATGGTTTTTTTAGTCAGGCACAGTAATAGTTTACTCCACTCATTTGGGAAGTTGTCAGAGATAACCCCCTTACTCCTCCCCAGTTGAGACTGTTAGACTCCTGTTTTAATCTTCTGCCATATTTCTGGATAAAAAGCCACACACACGCACACGCATGCGTGCACACACACACACACACACACACACACACACACACACATCATCATCATCATCATCATTAGGCTTCCTTGACAGTTTGCAGGCTCTCATTTATATTCCTTAGTTAAGATAGGTACTACAAAAAATGTTCTGCCTCAGAACACAACACAGTGCTCTGACCTGGACTTGACCTGCTCTAAAACATTTTTACAGGTGGGTGACCTCATTGAGACGCATCTGGTACAAATCAGGGACATTGATAAAGTTATGAAAAGTGCCAAGACAGGAAGCATGAAAGAGAGAAGAAGTGCAGCCTTTGAACTGGCCAGTTTAGCTGCCACAGGAGATGACACAAAGTTTAGAATTGTACAAGAGGGAGGGTAGGTTTTACTATTTAGATCTGGCTGTTTTAATTGAGAGAAAATTTCCTTTGAGCCAAAGAGTTACATGTCCCAGTCTTCATATCAGTCTTTATGTGGAGACCATTGTGTTAATCCTTGTCATTTCTTCAGCTGTCATAAGAGCAGGTGGCTGTTACGTATTAAATGCTTGTGGTGCAACTACTTTCAGCAATTCAAATTTGCAATCAGGCATACTACAATCAAGTAACTCCTCTCCACTTAAACAAACTGTAGCCTGCTTGAATTGTTTCTACACTTAAGTACTAAGAATTATTTCAGGGAAGTTTGGTGGCTAGAAAAGCTGCTATTGTATATGGCCAGAGGCAAATACACAAATTAATTAGTTATATCAACTAAGGTGAAATTGTAAATTGGCCACTGTAACGAATAAAAAAGCTGACTTTTCGAGCGTTAGCAAGAGCGAATACACAAACCTTACCCCATTTTCATAGCTTCAGAAATTCATTTTGAGCAACTTCATGAACCAAGAAAACCATCTCGAGGGTTAACAACTAAAAGTTTTACAGCTCTTATAATAAAAATAAATAATAAATAAATAATTTAGCAATGGACATTCCACTTGGTGGCTCTTCTTGTCCACTGTTTCCAGATCGAATTGGAATTTGGAATGTTGGTTTTTGTGGAGGGAGGAAAACCGGAGGACCCGGAGAAAAACCCTGGGAGCAGGGACGAGAACCAACAACAAACTCAACCCACATGTGACGCCAGGTCCGGGAATCAAACCCGGGCCACAGTGGTCGGAGGGGAGTGCTCTCACCACTGCGCCATCCCTGCTCCTGCTTATGACAATTAATTGTTGAACAGTATGCCTTTGTAGTCTGTGAACACCCATCTCTCACAGAACAGAGTTTCCCTACTTTTGATGCAAGACTTGCATGTTGATTGGCACCTTTGCATTGTCAAAACAAAAAGCCTTTTTGGAAACACTTCAAGCCTAAATTTGATAGTTTTTTTTTTTTATTAAGACTTGGACATTTTTGAAAAAATTATTTTAATGTAGAAGTATTAAAAAAGAAGAGGAAAAACCAAAATTTTAATTAAACTTGTGACGTTTTCACAAATAACTGTTCATCGCACTAATTTTTCAGACTACCAGCCTTGATGAATTTGTGCCTGTCACAAGATCAGGTAAAAAGTCTTTCATACCTCCCCTGATAAATATATCCAAAATTGTAATACATGTGTTGGCATTAGATCTGCACTTATGAGCTTGCCAGCTTCAATGTGGTGACATATACTGTTTATGCCGATGTCCACGATGGTGTAGGGACTGTTCCCTTTAAGCATCGGACATACTAGAATTTCCAGCTATCAAGCAAAACTTTCTGGGTTGATGCCAATGCCCTGAATTTGATGCCCTGAGTTGATTTTTACCCAGAATGTCTTCCTGTTATTCAAATTAGTTCCCTGTTACTAAATTTTTCAATGAAAACCCTGATGGTTAAAGTAATTTTTTTCTCTGATTTCCTCAGGCCACTCAAGAATATGCAATAGAAGCAATATCAGAACTACTCACTGTCCCTGTTATCCAGGTTTGAAGCTATTTTAATGTTTTCAATGTTGTGGCTCACTTTACAATGATTCTGACTGACAATTATTGGGCACTCTTTCCCGAATTTCTTTCTCGTTAATCACTGTAATGTTCCCCTCTATTAAGCGATCACTTCTATTAAGCGGCCGTGGTCACCCTTTCCTGAGTCCCAATAG